TGTGTGTGTGTGATATATATATATATATATATATATATCTGTTTGTGACGATATATATATATATAGAGAGAGAGAGAGAGAGAGAGAGAAGGGGGGGGGCATGTGCTACTTCGTTTCTTCTTTGCCTTTTGCTTTCCAGGCATTATGGCTCCCATGTCAACGCGAAACCAGCTTCACGTCAGTGGCACTCCTATAGTTGGAGGCGACTTCCAACAACTTCCCTGGGCCAATCATCAACGACGTCGTAGCCCACCAAACTGAGACTCACCCACACGCGCATGCACTTGCACACATAGAGTTTTGAAACCGACCAAACTGAGACTCACCCACACGCGCATGCACTTGCACACATAGAGGCAAAACTCGGCAAGTAAGCACGGGGTATACATGCAAGATCGCTTTATCACAAACATATTCAGAGAACATAGCAAACAAAAGTCTGAATCGGAATCTTTAGCAAAAACGTCAACGGGACAACGGACAGGATTTTCTCATAAAAGTTCACAGTTCTTGCACAGCACAAAAAAAAAAAATGCTGCAAAGGTATCGGCTTCCCAAACAAAACAGTCGCAGATAAAGAAACAAAAAAGGTTCGGTGGTATACCTGTTTCTTGCATGCGGATTTCTGTCTGTTCTCAGGCTCTTCTTTTTGTTTTTGTGAAAGAAGCGGCATATGATAGGGCAGTTCCTTATGCTTTTTCTTTCTTTTGTGCTTTTTAGTTTTCTGTTTTTGCGGGCGAAGCTGCAACGGGTCATCTAGTTAGTTCATTTATTTTTGCTGAGTGAGTTTGGGGCTGGGCTTTGTCTGGACTATTTTTGTCTGTTCCACATGTGTCGGTTTGGACATTTCTTATTGTCTGAACAGGCAGATACCTCTTCGGACCAGTGGATTTCAGTTTTGGCTGTTGCAGGCCAGGTTCAGATTCGTCCATATCTAGACTGGACCAGGCATTTGTCTGTTTGTGCCTTGCCCAGTCCTCAGGACCCTGTTGCGTCAGCAGGGTTGACTGGACGCCCGGTAGGGAGCCAGGCAGGCTGTCTCTTGGCCTGGATTGTAGTACCAGGACTTGGGCCTGTGATCAGGACCATCAATCAGACATCATATCCGATGGTCCTGATTGCAGACTGAGGACTGCTTAGTCATGGCCAGCGTTATATAGCTGGGCCAGTCCTCCACTTTGGGATGTTGGGCTGGAGCCTCAGTTGGGCGTCACGCTGCTGGACCGACATTAGTTTGGGGAGAGATGGGGTAGAGCAGCGCTGGAGGAGTAGAGGAGTAGGCTGGAGTGGAAAGTTTGACAGAAGCCACGTCTACAAGGGAGAGAGAGACTTACCTGGGCGACCTGCGTAGGGAGTCGTTTATGGGACTTTGTATCGGTTATGGGACCGGCCTTCAGCAGCGACCTGCGTAGGGAGTCGTCACCTTCGCTGGTCAGTATTCGTGGCATCGTCATCAGGAGCGTGCTAGGGAGAGAAGAGGTCTTCTCCTTCTTCTCCTCCTCCTCCTGATCCTTCTCTGCTCCTTTATAGCCACCATTTGACGGGGAGACCATTTCCTTGGAGGATTACAAGTGCAACTCTTGTATTCTTTCCCCTCTCCATCTTCGTCTCTCCTCCGTCCTTCACCATCCGTGTTTTTTTCCCCATGTGTGTGCGGAGGGAGGGAACTTTCTTCTGTGTATGATTCCCCTCCTTGCTGTGTGACACATGTGATGATGATTGTGTGAGTTGAGTCCGGATCTGATGTGTCAGGTCATATCTTTGAGTCTTCCGCTGCACTACATTGCATTATATCATTTTGTTCCTTGTACTGTTCATCACAGTGGCGCTCCTTGGACATGCATCACTCATCTTCGGATCCCTACCTCCCTCATGTGAACCTTCTCGCCTCTCCTCTCCCACACTCTCCTCCTCTGGAGTGTGCTCTTTAAAGACCAGAGAATGAAAAGCAGCGTAAGAGAGAGAGAGGGAGAGAGAGAGAGAGAGAGAGAGAGAGAGAGAGAGAGAGAGAGAGAGAGAGAGAGAGAGAGAGAGAGGGCTTCACCTGGCGACAAGTGACATCAGCTGGCTGAAGACAAGCGGAACATAAAAGACTATGGAGCTCACTATTCAATAAGTGACATGTGGGGAGTTTGGAACACAAGTTTTTTGTTGGGGGGTGTCTGGGGAGTTTGGAACACAATTTTTTTTGTTAGGGGGTGTCTGCTCTGTCTGGCGACAAGTGACATCAGCTGGCTGAAAACAAGCGAATCGTCTCTCCCCCCACCTATACAATAAGGTTATTTGAGCTCACTAAGATCATGGATGTAAAGGAGTGAAGGAGAACAAGTACAACAGGGGAAAAGATGGGTCTGACGATTATTAATGGGAGTTTGGAACACGAAAGGAAGGACTGAGGGAAGAACAGTGGGGACACTGGGGAGAGTAATGATCATGAGTATCATTTCTTCTCATTGCTTAACAGATGAAAGATAATGTGGAGAAATAATTACTTATGTGCTGATTACTTCTGTTTTTGGCCCTTGATGAACCTATTGGGCGCTCACAAAAACCATGGGCCGAGACAAGTCTAAGGGCATACACACACACTGACTTTTCTGACTTGGCTCTGGACGTGTTTTTCGTCAAATGCATCAGTGTCCGGCCGTAATTAAGGTCAGATTCATTTAGAATAGTGCTAGTGTGAGTATGACCTAAGAGGAATGATAAAAGATAGAGCATAATGAATGGTGCATTTTTTGGGGGGGCGGTAGGCAGAAGGTGGGGGTGGTAGATGTTGGGGTTGAAGTGTGGGAGACGATGAGGAGAAGCACTGAGTGAGTGAGCAGCAGTGGGGAGAACCGTAAGTCCCGCTATGTTTTTTTCCCCCCAGCGTAAATGAATGATGATTGAGGCTCACTGTGGAAGAGGGGTACCTTACAAAATCATTCTTGAAAGACTAGAAAGTTAGAAACAAGTAACCCAGCCGTTTTTTTTCTGAACGGCACACATTTGTATCAGTAAACTGGTTATCGAGTTTGTATCCTGCAAAACAATAACATTACACCACCAGTACACCCGGGCCTGGAGGCGCTGCACTGCGTGCCAAGCTTTTCTGAACCGCAGCGGCGCAGTTTTCTATTTTTTTGGCTGGCGCCACCAGCCATTGTGGTCCAGTAGGCCCAAGCCGCAAAATTTCAGAGTAGGCAACGAGTGAGTTGGGAGTTCATGGAGAGCATGGTGGAAGAGGATGGAGGAGAGGAAGGCAGGAGTAGCATGAATTGTTGATTATAGTATCATTTACATGATGCAAGATGGGAAGAATGTGAGGGGAGGAGGGAGGGTGGAACACCAGGTGGCAGGAGCAATGGGAAGAATTTTGACTTACGTGGATATCATTTTATTCCGTTTCTCGCAAAATGGATTGTCGAAGTTCATGGTTATGAGGGTAATGACAGGAGGAAGAGCATGAGTGCCCCTCACGGGTCAATCAAGACAAGAAGCCCACTAATGGCAGAGCAAAAGACGGGAATGAAGATCATAATGAGGGTGTGGAATTTGAGGGTGAGATGAATGAGTGTGAAAGAGGGGAGAAACAGCGAGAAGGGCCTACAATCTTCTCTTGGCGAACAGGTGATGTGACATGGCAGGAGTGTGTGGAAGAAAAGATGGAGGGGGTAACGAAAGTAGGAGGAGGAGAAGAAGGAGAAGACTTTTTCCAGGTTTTCCCGCCCAAGTTCGGTAGAATGTAAGGCACATGCGAGATCATGAACAGGAGGGTAGATAGACAGGGAAGCAGAATGGCAGCAAAGAGGAAGAGAAGTGGGGAGTAGAGCATGTACAGGTGTATAATTCTTTTCTGCCCTCTCCTTCTGCCCCTGCCCAAGTTCGGCAGGATTTAAGGCACATGCGAGATCATGAACAGGAGGGTAGATAGACAGGGAAGCAGAATGGCAGCAAAGAGGAAGAGAAGTGGGGAGTAGAGCATTTACAGGTGTATAATTCTTTTCTGCCCCCTCCTTTTGCCCCCACCTTCTTTCCCCTTTTGAAAAAGGCAGTGTGGAAGCGTCTGAACTGTTGGGATGGCAAACAGTGGAGGATGAGTACCCTTAGGAGCGTATCCTGGGAACAAGTAAGCGGCAGGACAACTTGGAGATCATGAATGAGAGAGGATGAAAGATGAGGCAGGGGAAGGGAGGGGGGAGGTGGTAAACGACTTTGAAAGAGTAGCAACTTTCCCTCGCTCACAGAGTCATGAAAGTTCATGAAAAGCTGGCAGAAAAGGAGGTGGAAGGTGCTGACGGGAGGACCATGAGTCTTCCCGTGTTTCGACCTGGCGATTATGAACGGGGTGGTTGGAGGGAGGAGGAAGAGCAGCAGGGAGGAGTAAGCATGTGAAGAGTTCACCCTCCAGTATGGATCATGAGTGACATGGTCTTGCAGTTGAACCACTGCTGACATGGTCTCTGCAAATCCAAAGGCGTGGATAGTGGAATGTTGGACTGCCGGAGTTCGAGGGTGACCGGTAATCGTTCCAACTTCCAACGCTAAGTTAGTTTGGACAGTATAGTGGCAGCGCGCTAAATCCGTGGACGATTGCATGCATGCTTGCGTTAGGGGAATTCTTCCATGGCACCAAGAGAAAAGGGGAGGGATGCTGAGAAATTAACACACTTGCCACAGAAAATCACAAACAGCAAGTATAATCAGCTACCACCAGGAAAGGGGAAAAGAGAGAACTTTCTCTTGGGCATTCCTCCTGTTTTCTTGCGAGCAAATCCCCAAGAGGTCAGCCAGTGAACTTATTACCAACGGGCCCAGCTCAGTTGGTTCACCCATGAACTTTTCACATACAGCCCCAAGTTCGACTCCAGATGCCACCACAAACCGGGATGGCAATCCTCGAACCATGGTACCAAGTGCACTTAACTTTTATTCATGAGGGCAGGGTTGCATACCTGCCGACCGCTGACC